AAGAACAATGGTGCAATCGACATTTTCAGTTGGGTATTGTTATGAGTTTAAATTGTATAGCTTTTTGAAATTCGTGAGTCTTCGTATTCCCATTAGTTTCTTTCAAATTAAATTACTTTAAATTAAATTAAATTACCCAACAATAAAATAAAAAGTAAGTAGGTACCTATGATATGTAATTTCCAAATCAACCAATACCTATATTGAGGATTTAAAAACTCAAATTTTGAAAAAAAAAATCGTTTAGAAACTAAACTGCATTTGTCCAAATATTTCATAATTTCATCCATTAGTTAACTCTTAGGTAAATCGTTAGAAAAGCCAATGTTGATTTCTTTATGGGTAATAGGAGTTTAATATTATTTTTACTTACAGTATAATGTGTTTACTGTACACAAGTAATAAGTACAATGAATTCTTGAAATAATTTAGTAGTTATGATAATCATATTTATATATACTATACCTATAAACTAAAAATAAAATAATTAGTTGATAATTAGTTGATACATAATAAAATGTTTTTCTCGCCTTGCCAACAAAATATATTTTAAGTTAAAATTTGTTCTCATGGCAATATAAAATATCAAAAAATTAAAATTTATAAATTAATTATAGAATCCGCTTAGAATCATTTTTTCATCAATGGTTCTTTTTACCCTTAAGATTTTGATCGAATCAATGTTCAGATACTATTTCGAATACCTAATTTTGAAGATAACATTTTTTATTACAATGATACAATTTTGTTTAGATTATTGGTTATAGAAAATAAATAATAGGTACCTATGTTTTATTATTCCATGCACGGAATGTATTTTATAACGTAAACTAGCTCTAAGTGTAACTCGGGGCCCGTTGGACTCGCTGAGAGTGGGTACCGATTTTTGAGACAATGTCGTTGGAATTATAAAAGTTACAAAGGTTGTAAGACGAAAGCTTAGGATTTGTGATATGGATTGGAGATAAGGCTAGACGCTTTGGTGGGAATGTTAAAAGTTTGAGCGTCTAGCAATCCGTCAAAAACGTAGTAAATGGCTAGGCTGGATACGATCTCCAGAATCACCTATATATAGAGTATACCTGCACATAGAGTGGTATGTGCAGTAGCATGACCGGTGCTTTATCTTATGTAAAAAGTGTAAAGTCGAAAACCGTGTTGGAGTTTCTAGCAAGTCAGTCATCTCAAGTCAAAATCGATTAACTTTCAAGTTAGCCACCTAGGTAGGCAATCCGACTTTTGCCGCAGCAAATCAGGTAGGCATCCACCTGCGGTGGATTTCAGACCCGACGTCAAGCGGCTATAAGTGAAAACCGTATCACACAACTTACAAAATAATTTACGAAAAATTCAAACTAAATACAATATACATACAAACAAATATGAAATGTTTTTATTGTGTGATATAATATAACAATGAACATTTTGAGAAATGTGCAATTATAATTCCTAAAAAAAATTAACATATAGGTTGATAGTTAGATACATACTATTATTATATTGGGGGACGATGTGGCCGAGCGGTCTAGCGCGTCGGCTGCGGCGCTGGCAGACGCGGGTTCGATTCTCGACCACCGGGCGGCATTTTTTTCCGGGCAAGTCACGGTGTCCGGAAAACAAGTGCCGCCATCCTCTACTCCGGGGCATGGCAGAAACCTACGGGTGCCCCATTCGAAATTCTGCCAAAAATACACCCACGTGTAACACACCTACCGTCCCAAAAAACCTACAGTACCAACCCCCCTCCCAATGGCCTAAGTTGCGGAGGGATAATTAATAAAAAAAAAAAAAAAATACTATTATATTAACCAATACAATACATATAAACATGTACTTATAGTGTATATATATTAATTAAAAAAACAAAATGCAAAAACCTGCATGTTAAAGTGTCTAGCAAGTCAATCATCACCATTTAAGACGAAACCAAAATGAGCAATCCGTCTATCACCTATATATAGTAGGTATAACTCATAGAGTAATATATGCCTTATCATGTCCGTTGCCTTTTCTTATGTAAAAAGTGTAAAGTCGAAAACCGTGTTGGAGTGTCTAGCAAGTCAGTCATCTCAACTCAAAATCGATTAACTTTCAAGTTAGCCACCTAAGTAGGCAATCCGAAATAAAATACAAACTATATTTATATCACAGTTTTTTTTCTAAGCATTTAAAGTTTACAAATTGACAAAATATGGAAAAATCACGAAATTTAGCAAATTATTTTGAGTTAAAAATTCGTAAAAATTTTTCTTTTTAAATCTAAGGTTTTAAAATGTAATATAAGATTCCTCATAAGTTTGTCTACCTTTATCAAAAAAAAAATTTCTATGAGAAAATCAAATTCAATTTTTATGAGCGTTTTAAATTCAAATTTTTACAACATTGGATACTCAATCGATTTCTCATGTAGCGATTTTCTTATTTTGTTGTAATTCAAAAACGAATAACCATAGATACATGAAAATTTCACTGAATATTTATATTATTATTTCATATAGACCATACAATTTTGAAAATATTTTGACTGTTTTTGAGCTTTTTACGGACATTTTCAGTTTTCAAATTTTTTAGTTTTTTTTTCTATAAATATCAATAAAGTTCTATCTGTTGGGCCGAAAAGTGTAAAAATGTAATACAAAGCTCCTGATATATTGTTACAATAGCAGTTGAAAAATATTAAAAATACATTTTCACAATTTTTTTTTATAAGCATTTAAAGATCAAATTTTGACAAAATTTATCAAAATCTCGAAAATTATCAATCATTGTAATTAATAAATTATAAAATGTTCAGTTTTTATAGCTAAGGATTGCAAATTTAAAACAAAGGTTCTCATAAATAGTTCATACTGTAACCAAAAAATCTATAAAATATATGAACACAGTTATTTTTTACAGACATTTTAAATTCAAATTTGGACGAAATTACATATTAAAAAACCTTGAATAACTATTTTATTTATTTTGTTGTGATTGAATTATATTATTCATGGGTACTTGAATTTCTAAAGTGTACTATTATATATCTATGATAGTATCACGGTTTTTTTTTATGTTTAACGTTATAAGTACCTAATGGATATTGTGATATGATTAATTTGGAATTTATTATAGGTACCTATTATAGGTCAATTTTTTTGTTTAATACCATAGATATGTATATAATATGTCTTATACCTATACTGACATACCGTCTCCGCTCAGAATCTTTTTTCTTATACAATGATAATATATCGTTGAATTCAAATTTAATATCATCCATTATACAGTGACCCACTTGTAACCTACTGTACAGCAGAGCGACTCCCACTTGCCCACCTTTTTGAAATTGATCACTTGAACTCTTACATTTTTAACTATAAGAATTTTTAAATGCTAGTAATATTTAATTTAAAAATAAAAAATATCGTTTTCAAATAAACTTGATGTTGAATGATTTCAGAATTTATTTCTGATTACTAGCTTAGTCTGTACGATTGTCATAAGATTGATACTCTTAGACAAAAATATGGTGTGGCTCAAGGAAGTCACTAATTATCGTTTATTACGCAAACCTCATACTGCACGACATGCAATCAAATTCTATTAAAATTTCCTTTACTCAACTCCTTAAGAATGGTCGGTATCCAATCCCTTTAAAGAAAAACAATATACAAATTAAATGTATAGAAATATTGTGGTTGAAGCTGACGATTTTAAATTTAGAAAATATAAATTTCTTAGTATCCATTATAGTGACCCACTCGACTCCTACTGAACAGCAGAGTGGTAGCTACTTATCCGACTTTTAACAATTTATTAGTGTGTTTTTAATAATTATTTAATATTAGCCTAACCATTTTTACAAGCTATTAAATAATTTTAATGAATTTATATTAATGGAAAAATGTTCTAATCAACATAGCCTTATCATCTCATATTTACCCATTACCATAACCTTTACTTCTTATAACACAAGGTTGAATAACTCAACAATTACTAGGTAGTACGAAATTTGATTCTGATAAGAACTTCAATTTTTTCAGAAAAATTTGACTGCATCCACTGAAAATCCACTGAATAATTTACAGTAAAAAGTAGGATTCCCATTTGAAAAACAGAAGTTTGTAATAATCAAGGTTATAAAAATGTTATATATTACATATTACATAGGTACACAAATAATCGATAAAAAATAATTTTTTTTATCGAATTGGGTATTATATTTATTTATTTTAAATTCCTCCTTTAATTATTTTTTGAAGAGTAGAATAATTGTGGTTGAAACTAACTGTTTTTAATTTAAAAAAATATAAACTTGTTAGTATCCATTACAATGACTCACTCATCGAGATCTACTATACAGCGGAGTGGTACCTACCTAATTAAATATAATATATTACTGCAGTAATAATAGCACTGGGTATTACTGGGTAGATTTTAAGAATATACCTCAGATAATCTCGTTATGTCAACTACCATGAGTGCTCAATCGAATATTGCAATCTGGAACCGTCAATAGGATATAAACAACTAGAGTTTTTATTTATAACTGTATTGTATCTTAGTACCTATGTATAATAATGTGTTAATGTGCACCAAATTAATGTGTTTATTATAACAGCCAACAAATATACAATGACAGCATTAAGGTTTTAAATTACAGCAAAGTGTGTTTGATTAGGTAATACAATATTGTGGATGTCATCGGAGAGTTCCGTATGCTTTTCATTAAAGTTAAAGCGATGTTTCATTCTTAAAGTATTAACGATATCTAGATACGTTAATTAGAAAGCAGTGAGTAGATCCTAGGAATAATTCCAAGCTCATTTGGTATGTCAACTACAATAACTAGAATATTGCTATATGGTACCGTAACTAGAACAAATAAAAATCGAGTTTTTATTTATAATTTTACCATGGTATGTATAATAACGTATTAATAAGCTCACATTAGAGTGTAATTAATGACTTAATAATAACAGTGAGAGAATGTACACAACCAATATTACGATTTTTAATTACAGAGCAGTGTGTTCGTATAGGTCCTGTGATCTTGTCGATTCCTCCAGCGGGTTACAAATATTTTCTGTCACGTTATCTCGATGATGTTTCGTTCTTAGGCAACAAGCTAAAGCCGAGACAAATGCCAGCACCGTGGACATGACAATTAACGCAATGAACCAGCCAGGGAGTTTGGACAGATCGTCAGGATGAGACAAAGTTCTTCTGATCACGGTGAACTGTAATGAAGTGCCCATTGTGACGGAGATCACTTGCAACCCAGTTGTATGCATGGTCGGCTCACAAACCAAACTGTGTGGTGTTACCGACAAAACTGCGCAAACCGAGGACGGCGAATCCACTGCCCGTATCACGATGTCTTCAGGCTGTACATGCTGTAAGTGGAGGCCATTGACGAGTACTGAACCGCTTTCGTTTATTTCAAAGTCTAACAGAACTGGATCGGGGTGCACATAAAATCTGAGCGATGGACCACGAACCACTATTGACAGCGACTGATTCAAGGAGAAGTCGTCTTTAATGAATTTTATTTCCAGTCCGAAATTCAGTAGCCGCCCCACAACCAATCCGTCCCCGTCCACGTTATCGACGTTCTTCACTTTTGGCGATCGGCATACCATGTACGTATCGTTAACTGATGGATCACAATAACTATCTGAATAAATTCTGACATCGTCAGGTATGTCAACGTACAGTCGGGCAGAGGATACAACGCAAGGTTCAGCGAAATGACTACCACGGACCGGAACGGAAGTGCCACCAGACGCTATGCCTCCAAGGTGGTGGGCCGCGTCCAGTACCGGATTGGGACAGAATTGGAATATCTGAGGCGACTCAATCTTCAGCACGCTTTCAGTCGATGAGTACTCGACCAGAATCGGACCGGACAATATTTTGTTGGATTGTGTTGTGATGCACGTTATAGTCTCTGGTCCCAACGTTCTGGAGTTCATGCACACTGTTCCTGCTATCGTCACAATTACTGTTCGGTTCTCTGATAATATCTCGTGGTTCCTCACTGTGATCGTCATGGTCGTGCCACCGGTTTCCGGCCCAGAAAGCGGATCGACTGCTGTCACATTTATTTCACCACAATCATTCGTCAAGTGTACGAATTTTATGTTTAACTGTTCTTTACCGTTGTTCGTCATATATAAATTCTTGCGAACCTGACAGGTGTTATTGGAGGAACACCATCTCAAGTAGTTTGAGTAGCCATCTTTATTCCATGCACAAGTAGCACATGATTTGTACTTTTCATCATTTGCACACTCTTCCTGTTCATAAAATGTGACATAGTGATCAGCCACGTTATCAAACCGTAGTATTACGTCATTGAAAATAATAAAAGTAAAAAAAGTGAACGTTGGATTATTATAACCAAAATCAGATTTTTTTACGTAGAATTCACATGATATTATCGTATTGTTATTTATGTTAACCTGTCGAGTTGGATATTTACAACGTGTTGGAAATCTGGTATAAATTATACTGTCATTAAGATAATTTCTGAAACCTACCAACTCATTTGATACCTCAACAATGTATTTCAAGGAAACACTTGATTCACCATAATTATACTCTTTAATTACTGAAAACCGTGGGCATTCCTCTATTTCGAAGACTATTAAACCCGACGAGTTGAATTGAGTCCTGTTTTCACATATCTGTTGTTGAAGGGACCATATACACATGGGTTTGATTGTACATTTAGGGCACGTCATTAAATCTGAACAAATGGTTTTATTTGAATCGTGAATTATAGATGGATATTCGGAAACGAGAAGATTGAATGGATTAACAATAGGTGTCGGTGATCTATTTGCCAAGATGTATGTTAACGAATCTCCAATTTTGACCAAGATCTCGTGCAACTCAACTGGAGCGATGGTCATGGTTGGGTCGCATACAATACGTTTTGATTTAACCGAAACGACTACGCAACCCGTAGCCGATGAATTAAGAAATCGTACCACGATGTCATTCAGTCGCACATGATCTAAGCTAAGGCCGTTGATGACTAGTGAACCACCTTCTTCGATTACGAAGTCCTCAAGGACAGGATCGGGGTGCACGTAATATCCAAGCGAAGAGTCAGAGACCGTGATTGGCAGTGACTGATTCAAGGAGAATCCTTCCTTACTGTACGTGATATCCAGTCCGATGTTCAGTAGCCGTCCCACAACCGACGCGTCCTCGTCCCAGACAGTGCCGTTCACACTTGGCGATCGGCAGACCATATACGTGTCGTTGACTGGTGGATTGCAATAACTATCTGCATACCGTCTGACACCGTCAGCCAGGTTAATGTACAGTCGGGAAGAGAATATAACGCAAGGTTCTACGAAATGTCTTCCACGAATTGGAACAGAAGTGCCACCGGACGCTATGCCACTGAGTTGTTGGTCTAAGTCCAGTACGGGATTGACACAAAACTGGAATATCTGGGACGACTCAATCTTCAGTCCACCTTCAAACGAGGAGTACTCAACCAGGACTGGACCGGATAATGTGCCAACCGCTTCTGACGTAGTGCAAGTTATAGTCTCGAGGCCGGACGTCTTGGGATTTGTGCACACTGTTCCTGCAACCGTTACTTTTACCGTTCGATTCTCAACAAATATTCTGTGTTTCCTAACTATGATCGTTAAGGCCGTTCCACCAGTTTTCGGTCCTGATAGCGGATTTACCGCTGTCACGTTTATTTCGGCACAATCATTGGTCACGTATGCTACCTTTTCGTCTAACTTATTTGTAGCATTGTTCTTCATATATACATCCTTGTGATCTTTACAGGTGTCTTTGGAGGAACACCATCTCAAGTAGTTCGAGTACCCATTTCTATTCCATCCACATGTCGCACAATTTTTGTACTTCTCGTCGTTGTTACATTCTTCATATTTGTAAACCGTAACATAGTGATCAGCGACGTTGTCAAAACGCAGCATTATATCATTGAATTTAATAAAGACGAAATGAGTGACTGTTGGCTCATTGACATTTAATTTTGATTTTGTTTTTATGAATGGACACAATATTTTGGTATTATTAATTATACGCGACGGTACTTCACTACCTTTTAGAGATACGCAAGAAATTTGAAATCTTTTAAGATAATTTATGAAACCCACAAAATCATTCGTTATCTCAACAAAGTAGTCCACATAAATTGTTGAGGTAACCTTGTAGTTATACTGATATTTTTTAACTACTGAAAACTTCGGACATTCCCCTATTCTAGAGACTATTAAACTTGACGAATTGAATTGATTCTCGTTTTCACAAGCCTGTTGTGTAAGGGACCATACACACATCGGTTTGATTGTACATTTGGTGCAGGTCATTGAATCTGGGCACCTGATTTTATTGGCCTCTGCTTCAATTATACTATACGTTGGAAACATCAAAGCCTATAGAAACCAAAAATGTTTATTATTTTGGATTTACATTTTAGTAAATACGTAATTATTATAAATTCATATTTTAATGATATTTTCAATAAGTATAATATTAACATCAAACTTTTGATGGTTCGACGTTTCACCTAACGTACAACTCGTAGGCCAAACGCCATGTGGTTGCCCGCTATTTTGGACAAGGTCACCAACCACGGGCCGATTTTTCTATGACTTGCACTTCTGGTGAATTGTCGAACCATCACAGATGGCAGCCTTGCCAGGATTTTTGAAAACGTAAAGCGTGTCTTATGTCCGTATGCATAGTCAGTTTATGTGTCACATAAGATATAGTTTATATCCAATTGCAAAAAATTGCCTATGCATACGGGTGCTAAAATATAATTTGTTAATTTATTATTTAATTCCACCACTGTTTTCGTTTGTTTCACTATCGTAGTATCATCGCACAGAGAATTTAATGGATGTATTTTTTTTAATATTGTAGTCCTGAGTCTATATGTGGTAAAGAGTGAAAATAGTTTTTTTTTCAGTTATTTGTAACAAGCTTGCAAAAAATTATACTATTCTTGACTTTTTCCACAGGTTATTCAATTATTTATGAGTACCTCGAAGGTGGTTTCTTTAAACTATTTTCACTCTTTACCACATATAGACTCAGGGCTACAATATTAAAAAAAATACATCCATTAAATTCTCTGTGCGATGATACTACGATAGTGAAACAAACGAAAACAGTGCTGGAATTAAATAATAAATTAACAAATTATATTTTAAATCAGTTGGCGTTTTCCACATATTAACTGTTAATTTATTTTATTTTATTGTTTTATATATTTGTGAATGAATCATCCTAATGAATTCAATTATAGGTTTTTATTGCCTGGCCAGCCATCAATTGTACGTACACACCTAATTAAATTATATTGAAATATTATCATCATATCGTTCTTACTGCTCTGACAGTAACGATTTTGTTATTCAACTTTATTATATTTATTCATATTGTCTACCGTAATATGGCATATGTTATTAATTATTTTTTTAATTCAATTTCTATTTGCTGCAGTATTGCAGTCGTGTCAGTTTTTTTAGAAAATGTACTTGTTCTCTACAGCTTTTGTGTCCCTGAATGGGAGCGGGTCATGTCTTCGAATGTCATGTGTTCGAAGGTCATGTTTTCGAATGACGAGTGTTAGAAAAGTTATTTGTTTGAATAGTAATGTAATCGAAAAATTATTTGTTCGAAAAGTTGTATATACGAAATATTATTATTTTATTTTTAAACGTAAATTTTATCGACGTACCCGATTAATATCGTTGAATAAAAGTTATAAAGATAATATAGATAGTAGATAACATTGCTTATAGCTTATTAGTAATGACTATGGAAAGCGATAGAAAATTAAAAATGTGTCAACTAAATCATCTGAGCGATCAACTCTTAGGTGACCAGCGATTAGTGATACGATAACGTCCAAAATAACATAAACATTTTCAAACAGAATGAGACAATCGTTGACTGTTTAGGTATCACGGCATATATAATGCATTGAGAGAAAGGTTCTCAATTTCCGTAAGGTTTTAAGTCTGGTTACAAATTTTTCATCCAAAACACCAGATCCCGTTTTTTCACCAATCAATTCTCAGGATCCAACATGGTTTTCTTTCGTTAGTGTGCCCGAACGTTCTATATTGATCATGTTGGATTAAAAAAGTGTATACTCGAAATACGCGAATTTTGATTTTTTTTTATCATTCCAGTCTTGAATACCAATTTTGTCTAGCTATCACAAACTTTATTATTGTATTAATAGATTATATTTATAATATTCTAATTAAATGTAAACAATGAGATAATAATCTATGACACAGATTGTTACTATATTTATGTATTTATGCGTATAAACGTGTTTTATTGATACCTACAATTTTAAAAACACTCTTTTAGAATTATTGCTTTTGAATTTCTTCAAATAAAATTTTTTTATGCATTTTTTTATGCTTTTCACGATGTTTTAAATTATTTTATTAAAATCCTAAATTAATTATTGAACAAATATTTTAATGAACATATCAATAAAAAAAAAAATTTTTCACTGTCCTTAAATTATAATTTGTAATTAGTATTTGTGCTTACCATCATACATAAAATTAAAAATAGTCCATTCATAGACTTTTGGTTGTAATAGTTTTTATTTTTGCATAACTTTTTGCTACCATTCATTGCGCTGTTCAAATGCTGTATGTTCCATATAAAATTGTTCATCTATAAACAAATATTATTTTTCAAACATTTCAATACAATTAATATTATAATACAAAATATACAGTTATAATATGCAGTATGTATCTTATGTCATTTTACATGGGGTTTTTTTTAACGATTATGGATCGATGACATAGAATTTTGGTAAAACGGAAAAAGACGTGATTCTTTTTTTGAACATGCAATTTTTTTTATAAAAATTTCAAAATTTTTAAATACACATGTGTACCAAAATAACCTTTATTTTTTCAAATGGTAACTACTATATTTTTTAACGGATTCCGATAAAGCTTTTTTTTCTGTTCAAAATGTTGATAGTTAAATCATCAATTTTGGTTCTCTAGTTTATTAATTATGGTCCTCTAGTAAAATATGCATTAATACATTTAATTGAAATAATTGGTATAGGTTTAATTTACAAGAGCTAAATAATGTTTTCTTATAACTACATTTTTGTACACTTATAGTAGTTTAATCGGTAATCTAATAACCACTCTCTCAAAAAAAAAAACATAAACAAAATTGTTGGCAAACATAGTTCATTATTTTTATTTTAACATACAATCATAAAAATCAGTATTCTTATTTTAATTTGTTAGGTATTATAGGTAATCGTAATTAATTACTTACAGTTACTTTTCTTACAATATCATACATTTCGATTCATTATTAGGTCGCTAAAGTAATAATGGTAAATTGGTAAATGGTATTCGATTGTTAACATTAATGTCTTAATATGTATGGGGGTTAAAAAAAAATATTTTATGAAAAAGGGCAATGTTTTAGGACAAGGCTTGAAAACGTTATGGTAACGTTATGGTCATAACGTTATATTTGACAAAAAACGATTGAAATTTGTAAACGTAATTATTAGGGACAGCGATAATCAAAAAAATTAAATACCTCAAAAGGTGGGCAAGTGGGTGTCGCTCTGCTGTACAGTAGGTTACAAATGGGTCACTGTATAATGGATGGTATTACATTTGAATTCAATGATATTATATCATTGTATAAGAAAAACGATTCTGAGCGGAGACGGTATGTCCTTCTAGGTATAAGACATATTATATACTTATCTATGGTATAAAAAAAATTGACCTATAATGAATTCCAAATTAATCATATCACAATATCCATTAGGTACTTATAACGCGTTATACACCAACGAAAAACCCTGATACTACCATAGATATATAGTAGTATACTTTAGAAGTTTCAAGTACCCACGTGTTATGTAATTTACCTACCTAATTAATATTTATACTATTATGTAATTGGTATCGACGACAGCGCGATACTGCGATAGCCGTTTCATATTATAATAAACAGTCTTAATTAAATCGTACTCGCTGTAAGTTGTTTTGTCGACCGCTGCACTCCGCGCGTCAGTTTAAAAAGCGCAAACATAACATTTGGCGACGAAGAAAATGCGTTATACGTTTTTTTTTGTTAAAAATGTATAAAGGAAATCGTATAGATTATAAGGTGCGTGATTAATATATGAAAAGTGTTTGGTTATTTTTGTGGTCTCGCAAACGTACAAACGAAGTTCATAATGTCGAGCACAATTTCGTCTTATGTGCCAGATCAGGAACCGTTTAAAAATTATCTTGATCGTTTAAGGGCTCAGTTGTCAGTGTTAAAAGTGAAAGACGATCAACGCCAAAAGTACCTCATTGCGTTTATAGGTTCAGAAGCCTACAGTCAATTGAAAAACGCATGTTTACCGTGTCAACCCTCAGAAAAGACTTTTGAAGAACTAGTCACATATTTGGACGCGATATATTCGCCACGGCGTTTAGTGGTGAGTGACCGTTTTAAATTTAATCAGTGCTGTCAAAGTCCGGGGGAATCGGTACAAGATTTTATCACTACGTTAAAAAAGTTAGCAAGTCACTGTGAATTTGACACATTTTTGGATGATGCACTTCGCGACAGACTAATTGTAGGTCTAGCGGATGAAGCTTGTCAAAGAAAATTGCTGGGTGAGTCATCACTAACTTTTCAGAAAGCATGTGAAAAAGCTTTGGACTCAGAATTAGTGAAAAATCAGTCCAACCATATAAAAAATAAATCTCAAGTAAATTGGATCGCAAAAAATTACAAAAATAAACCACAGTCAAAGTCAGATCAGTTAAAGAAAAATACCAGTGCAGTACCAAGTAGTAGTCAGTCAACCAATCAAAGCGCCGAGGGGTCAAAACGAGGTAGTCAATCGTACAGTCAGTCACAACAGGGATCAAGTAAGGAGTCGAATCAATGTTACCGGTGTGGAAGAACTCATGATGCTCGTAACTGTCCAGCAAAACAATGGGAGTGTTTCAATTGCAAACTAAAAGGACATGTATCGGTAATGTGTAGAAATAAGAAAAAAATTATTAAATTAGTAGAAAGTGTTAATAATATACAATGTATAAATAGTATTGAAAGTTTAAAAGTAAATGAACCACTCATTATTGATTTGCTTGTAAATGATCAGTTAATGACATTTGAAGTCGATAGTGGTGCTTCAGTTACTGTAATACCAAAAGTGATTTATGACAGATATTTTAGAAAGACTAAATTAAAAAAAGAAAAATGTAATCTGTCATCAGTAAATGGGGAATCTATAACAGTAGTTGGTCAATTAATTTGTAAATGTGAGATCCTCAAAAAATGAAATTATTAAATTACCGTTAATAGTAACAGAAAATTGTGTAAAAAAGTCACTTTTGGGTCGTTCGTGGTTAAATGAATTGTTTCCTGAATGGAAAAATATTTTTAACTGTCATAAAATAAAATTTGAATGTAATGAAATAAATTGTAAAAAAATTGAAGGTATAAAAAAAAGCAATGAAAATCAAGTGGACGTCATAGTGAGTGAAATTAAGTTGAAATTTCCGGGTGTAGTAAAAAGGTTGGTCAATGAGGAAGAATGTATAAAAAATCATGAAGTAAATTTGGAACTAAGAGAAAATAGTGTACCGAAATTTCAAAGGGCGTACCAAGTGCCTTATGCTTTAAAACCTGCAGTGGAAGAAGAACTGGTGAGATTAGAAAAGGAAGGGGTAATATCGCATGTGGTAACAAGTGAGTGGGCGTCTCCGATAGTTATAGTGCCAAAAAAAAATAATAAAATACGAATTTGTGTCGATTTTAAAAATACATTAAACCCTTACGTAAAAGTAGATCAACATCCGTTGCCAAGAATAGACGATGTATTTAATAATTTAACAGGAGGACAATGTTTCACGGTAATAGATTTATCGGAAGCATATTTACAACTTCAGGTAGCATCGTCGAGTCGTCATTTTTTGACTGTAAATACTCATAAAGGATTATATCAATTTAATAGACTTTGTTATGGTATAGCTTCAGCTCCTAGTAAATTTCAAGCGGTAATGGAAAATATTTTAATTGGGCTAGAAAATATTCAAGTGTATTTGGATGATATTATTATAAGTGGAAAGTCCATCGATGATTGCAAAAATAAAGTTTGGTTGGTATTAAGTCGCTTACAAGAGTATAGGGTAAAAATAAATTTTGATAAATGTCAATTTTTCCGTTCAAGTGTGGTATTTTTAGGTCATATGATAGAGGCTGCATGTTACTTGCGTCCCAAAAAAGATATATTTTTCAGGTAGTAAATTTGACCGGTAAATTGCGTCCCGTTTTGGGGACGCAAGTCAGCCATATAATTATTATCGATATTATCTTCTAAAATCATTAAAATCGATAGTATCGTGACACTAAAATCAATATTTCATAAACTGTACCGTATACATGTGTGTGAGTGCGTGCGTTACTTACTTACAATGTAGATACAATTTATCTATGATAGGTACCATATGATAGTATATTCTATTAATAACTTAAGTAGGTATTATTTTATGTGAAAAGATATGGGAACATGTATCTTGTTGGTTGTTAGATTCGATAAGATAAAGCAATTACGTCGATAATTTTTTTTTTACTCGCATTTTATTTTCACATTTTACTTTTATTCAGTACGATTCGTCTTATTAGACCAATAGTTGTGAAATAACCACTCATCAAATTAAAAAAAATTAAATAAGTTAATTTAATAAAATACGATTTTTTATATTATTATTATTATTATTATTACTACCATGACAAAATATAAAACATATGAATTTGTAATTTTATAAGTTTGAATTTTAAAAAAAAAGCGTGAAAATTGAACTCCTGAAGTTGAAAAATATTCGTTCAACTTTTATAGCTAAGGATTGAAATATATTTAGTAATATCATAGGCTGACTGACCGTTTTCGTTCAGAATAGTTTTTTCCATACTTTTTTTTTTTGTACATTTTTATATCGATTATATCGATATTTTTGGGACGCAATTAGGTTATATAAAAAGGTGTACTGGGACGCAAATCGGCTATGACCTTTTTGAACCTTTTTTTTGCGGGACGCAACTCACCTACTGATAATAATTTCGGACGCAAGTAGTATGCTCCCATGATAGATAGGCACGGGGTTCACCCAACGGTTGATAAAATGGAAGCGATTTTAAATGCTCCGCAACCAAAGGATATAAGTCAATTAAAATCGTACTTAGGTTTAATTAATTATTATCAAGGTTATATTCCAATGTCATCGACTATTTTAGCCGCATTATATAATTTGACAAAAAAAAATGTTAAGTGGATTTGGTCAAAAGAGTGCGAGTCAGCATTTAAAAGAGCGAAATCAGTATTAAAAGAAAGTCAGTTATTAGTTACTTATAACCCAGATTTGCCATTAATTTTGACGTGCGATAGCTCTAGTTATGGCGTGGGTGCAGTACTAAGTCATATAATAGATAAGGAAGAAAAACCTATCGGCAGCTGAAAAAAATTATTCTCAAATCGATCGTGAGGCATTAGCTATTATATTTGGAATAAAAAAATTTCATAAATATTTGTTTGGTCGAAAGTTTATTTTAGTATCGGATCATTTGCCGTTAAAAACATTATTTAATCAAAACAAAAATATTCCAGTACATGCTTCGTCAAGACTTCAGAGATGGGCTATAATATTATCGGGTTATGATTATGAATTTCAATATAGAAAGGGGTCAAATATAAATAATGCTGATGCGTAATCGAGATTACCTATAGAGGGAAATATTGATGAAGATTTAGGTTCAATAATGTTAGTTGAACAGTTACCATTATCGTTTCACGAAATAGCAAAGCAAACAAGTGAAGACGCTGTTTTAAAAATAGTTTGTGAGCAGGTTAAGTCTGGTTGGGTTGGCCATAAAAATTATAAAAACGAGTCGGAACCATATTTTCGTAGGAGGTCCGAGTTGTCAATTGAAAAGGGATGTTTAATTATAGGAAATAGAGTTGTAGTTCCAAATATATTAAGACAGCAAGTGTTAAATATTTTACATAAAAATCACCCAGGTGTAGTACGGTCAAAAATGTTAGCTCGATCTTATGTATGGTGGCCAAATATAGATAGTTGTATTGAAAAGTATATAAAATGCTGTTCACAATGCCAGTTAAATCAAAACGATAAAAGTAAAAATGATAAAATTTTTGTCCCCTGGCCGAAGTCAGAAAAACCATGGCAGCGTATTCATATTGATTTTTTGGACGTAAATAAAATTAAGTTATTAATTCTGGTAGATAGTGGAAGTAAATGGATTGAATGTTGGGCGTTAAATAGTACAACCGCAGCAATGGTAATCAGAGTTTTAAGCCGTTGTTTTTGTACTTTTGGATCGCCTGAAATACTTGTGTGCGATAACGGGCCGCCGTTTGGTTCAAAAGAATTAAAAACATATTGCATTAATAATAGTATAAAGTTATTACATTCTCCACCGTATAATCCGGAGTCAAACGGTTTGGCGGAGAGAGGGGTACAAACTATTAAGAAGATATTAATTAAGTCACTGTGTAATGAGAGAGAGGTAACGAGAATGCAAACGAAAATAGACGATGCATTATTGTCTTATCGAAATACACCGTCAGCTGATACAGGTTGTTGTCCAGCAGAAATTATGTTAAATTTTAAGCCGAAAACACAATTAACAGTATTAAAACCAAAAATAGGAGGGAACATTATTTTAGAGCACTCAATGGGAAAATCGGAAAATTTTGAAATTAATGAAAATGTGTTAGTAAAAAACCCACAAGCAAAAGGTCAAAATTGGTTACCAGGTAAAATTATGAAAGTACTGAGTGGATGTAGGTATTTAGTGATGATGAATGGTAGCGTGAAAATGGTGCATATAAATAAATTAAAACCTAGTATGTTAAGCGAAAGAATACATCAGAGTAATTAAATCGAAAAAAAAAATAATGTATTAGTTATTAATTATTATTTATTATTGTTGTGTTTATATTATTATTTGTTATATTATTATGTAATTATTATGTGTACAATTATAATTATGTAGTTTCAGTATATTAAGAATGTGAACGCAAAGTAATTGAATTATAAAATGTTGTTAGAATATTATTATTATTTTTAAGGAGGAATAATGTTATGTAATTTAATTTAAATACCTAATTAATATTTATACTATTATGTAATTGGTATCGACGACAGCGCGATACTGCGATAGCCGTTTCATATTATAATTTTTTTTTTTTTTTTTTTATTTATTTGAAGAAATCTACAATCTATACATGCTTTTTGTACAATAAGTAGGTTTGATATAAGAAAGGTAAAAAATATGATATGAGTAGTTAGATTAGGGAAGATACCCAGTGGTAACACCCTAAAATATTATAATAAACAGTCTTAATTAAATCGTACTCGCTGTAAGTTGTTTTGTCGACCGCTGCACTCCGCGCGTCAGTTTAAAAAGCGCAAACATAACACCACGAAAAATATTATACAATCACAACAAAATAACTAAAACAGTTATTCTAGGTTTTTATTATGTAATTTCGTCCAAATTTGAATTTAAAATGTCTGTAAAAAATAACTGTGTTCATATATTTTTAGATTTTTTGGTTACATTATGAACTATTTATGAGAACCTTTGTTTTAAATTTGCAATCTTTAGCTATGAAAACTTTTTAATTATTTTATAATTTATTAATTACAATGATTGATAATTTTCGAGATTTTGATAAATTTTGTCAAAATTCGATCTTTAAATGCTTATAAAAAAAATTTGTGCCTATGTATTTTTAAAAATTTTCAATTGGTATTGTAACAATATATCAGGAGCCTTGTATTACATTTTTACACTTTTTGGCCCAACAGATAAAACTTTATTGATATTTATAGAAAAAAAAAACTAAAAAAATTGAAAACTGAAAATGTCCGTAAACAGCTAAAAAAAAGTCAAAATATTTTCAAAATTGTACAACGTATAGAAAATGCTAATATAAACATTCAGTGAAATTTTCATGTATCTACAGTTATTCGTTTTTGAATTACAACAAAATAAGGAAATCGCTACATGAGAAATCGAGTGAATATCCAATGTTGTAAAAATTTGAATTTCAATCGCTCACAAAAATTTAATTTAACTTTCTTATAGACATTTTGTTTTGATAAAGGTAGATAATCTTATAAGGAATCTTGTATTACATTTTCAAATCTTAGATTTAAAAAGAAAAATTTTTACGAATTAACAAAAATTAAATAAAAAAGACACATCATTGTAAAATCAATACATTCATCGTTTCACTCAGAATCTAAAACAAAACATAATGATTAACAAAATATGATATATATCACTAAACAAAACATAACTCATACCGTAATTTATAGAATATCATTAAACGAAAAATAATGCAAAACTAAATATTTTAAAATCTATTTATTTAAAAGGTCTATAGGTTTCGGAAACATTTATTTCATGCAATCAATCTAAGAATTGATTATATTATATTCCGTATCCGGGCCATTATCTACCCGAATTATTTATTATTTTTAAATGTAATAGGTATTAACACTATTTTAAATAACGATAAACGCAAAACTTCCATAACGTTTTAGTTCTAAATAACGATAAACACAAAACTTGGATAACGTTTATTTAATTCTGAATAACGATAAACGCAAAAGTTGAATAACGCTTTAGATCTAAATAACGGTAAACGCAAAAATTGTATAACGTTTTAATTGTAAATAACATAAAAAGGAATTTTTTTTTTCAAATGCAAGCCCTGTTTTGTGGTGCTCTTCCCGTAATGGGGTAAACTTGAAATTTGAACCATAGGTATAGGTTAACTATATTGGTAGGTATCACATGCAAAGTAATTTAGGAGTTGAAATTCATAACTCATCATATTTTTTAGTTTTGGACATTTACGTTTTATTTCGTACTTTTCCTATCATTAATTCCTAATATACTTTTCTCACAATATCATTCATTTAGATTCTTTATTAGGTGGCTAAGGTTATACCTTATGAGTTATGGTATACCTAATGGTATTTGATTCTTGTTATGATAATATTGGAAATCTGTAATTAACTCAGATTTAAAGTATGCCTAAGTTATGTACAAACCTATATTGAGATTGACTATTTATCTAAATATCTTGTAAATAGTTTATTTTAAATCACAATAATTATTAAATAATTTTTAAAGAGTTTCAACTTCTAAATTCATACTTTGCATGCTATACCTACCAATATAGGGAACTTATAGTTCAAATTTCAAGTTATAAAAGTTAGTTATGAGAAAAAATTATTTAGCTCTTGTAAATTAAACCTATATCAATTATTTCAATTAAAAGTATTAATGCACATTTTACTATACTTTAGAGGACTATAGTTGATAAACTAGCGAACAAAAATTGATGATTTGAATTTCAAAATTTTCAGAAAAAAAAGCTTAACCGGATATTATTAAAAATTTAGTAGCTACCATTTGAAAAAATAAAGTTGATCTTGCTATGGTACAACTGCGTGTTTAAAAATTTTGAAATTGTTATTAAAAAAATGCCTGTTAAAAATAAAGAAACAAATCTTATTTCATTTTAACGAAATTCTATGGCATCGATCCACAATCATTAAAAAACCCGCTTTCAATGACATAAGATACACCCTCTATAATAATCCATAAGGCACTAAAACATTGCATAACTAGTTGTTTTATTCGAAAACATTGTATGAGTTTTTTAATTTAAGAGTTAATTATATTCAATATTAGAAAAAAATATGATATTATATAAATTATATAAAAATTATTCTTTCGACAAACGTTAAAACGTAGGTAACAATTATTTTTTATACATGATATAATTTTAAAAATAGTTTCTTTTTTTGTGCTATAAGCCAGGGGTCTCCAAACTCTTTTATACAAGGGCCACCAAAAAAAAATCAAATGCTCCTAGTGGGCCAAATGTTTATTAACACATATAATTTTTAATTTTATGATAATATATTAGATTCCTACCTATATAAATAATATGTTTACTTTATATTTTTGTATAAAATATTGTTTACTTTACAGTTTACTTAAATAAAAATAAATAGGTATAAATAATATAATATAAATACATTTTTAAAATAATTTTTTTATTGATATTTACCTATGCGTCCTATGCGGACCACGGGCCGGTTAAAACTTGTTCGAGGGCCATATCCGGCTCGCGGACCGTAGTTTGGAGACCCCTGCTATAAGCCATACAAATCTTTTTTAGTTTTCATGCTTTAATTGTCGGTAAACATTAAGTGATTGAGTCAAAAAGATTGAAACTTTCAAATTAATCTGTAGTTAATTAATATGTGTAATATTTTGAATTTTTACAGCAATGACTAATCAAAGAATTATTCAAATATTCTATTTCATTGTAAACAATTACCTAACAGATATCATGAACCTATCCACGCTATTATACGGTAAGGTTCTATTGAATTAAAAGTTCGTAAAAAAAAATAAAAATAATTTAATGGAAAGATAATAATAATGTAATATATAAAAAATGAATATTTTCGAAGATATGAGATCTAGGTGCCTATATTACTAAGTATATTATATTATTAATTATTATTAATATTTAAGTAGTTAATTAATTTTAATATTAGTATTTGCAGTCGGTTGAATTATCGTTATTCTCCGATTAAAATGTTAAATATCTTATTTCATTAATTTCAACTTAGAAGTACCTATAAAAAAATGCTCCTAGTATATTGTTTCAAAGGCAGATAAAAAATATTAAAAATCCTTAGTCACAGTTTTTTTTTATAAGAATTAAAAGTTCAAAAATTGAAAAAATATGGAAAAATCAAGAAAATTAGCAAATTATTTGAGTTAAGAATTAAACATTTTTCTTTTTAAATCTAAGATCTTAAAATGTAATACAAGATTCCTTATAAGATTATCTATACCTTTATCAAAAAAAAAAAAAAAATGTCTACCAGAAAGTGAAATTAAATGTTTATGAGCATTTTAAATTCATATTTTTACAAAATTTGTTATTCACTCGATTTCTCATGTAACGATTTTCTTATTTTGTTGTAATTCAAAAACGAATAACTGAAGATACATGAAAATTTCACTGAATGTTTATATTAGTATTTCCTATACACCATATAATTTTAAAAATATTTTGAGCTGTTTACGGACATTTTCAGTTTTTAGTTTTTTTAGTTTTTTTTTCTATAAATATCAATTAAGTTTTATCTGTTATGCCAAAAAGTGTAAAAATCTAATACAAATCTCCTGATATAATGTTACAATATTAGTTGAAAATTATTAAAAATACATATAGGCACAATTTTTTTTATAAGCATTTAAAGATCGAATTTTGACAAAATTTATCACATTTAAAATTGAATAATTATTTTGTAGTTAAAAATGTATAAAATGTTCAACTTTTATATCTAAGGATTGAAAATTTAAAACAAGATTCCACGTAAGTAGTTAATTCTGTTAATTCTGTTACCAAAAATTCTAAAAAATACATAATCAAATTTTATTTTGATAGTCATTTTAAGTTCAAATTTGGACGAAATTACATAATAAAAAACCTAGAATAACTGTTTTAGTTATTTTGTTGTGATTGTATAATATATTCGTGGGTACTTAAACTTTATAGTACACTATTACTTATCTATCATAGTATCAGGGTTTGTTGTTGATGTATATCTTGTTATAAGTACCTACCTAATGGATATTGTGATATGATTAATTTGGAATTCATTATAGGTCAATTTTTTTTATACCATAGATAAGTATATAATATGTCTTATACCTAGAAGGACATACCGTCTCCGCTCAGAATCGTTTTTCTTATACAATGATATAATATCATTGAATTCAAATGTAATACCATCCATTATACAGTGACCCACGGCCACTTGTAAAATACTGTACAGCAGAGCACCTTTTTTTTTTTAAATGTAGAATAATTTATGAGAAATCTGTTTAATCTTAGATAAGAATAGAAAATTTACTATGAATTTCTAACTCAAATAGTTTGAAAATGTTCAGGATTATAATGAACTGTTTTAAAATGTTAACTTCAGACACTCATAAAAATTATTGTAGATTTATCTACTTTTTTCTTAATTGCCACTTATAACTTATGAGAAATTATGTACTAGAAATGTTCAAGTTTTTTGACAGAAGTATTAAATTCACTTAACTAACTTATTATTTCATTAATTTACATAGATACCATTATTGTGAATACAATTTGTGTTAGAGAAGCGTTAAATCCCAGTTTCAGAAAAGATGACTATAACTTGTTGAATAACCAGTTCTATTTGTAAAAAACAAGGTTTAAATTAAAAACTTGATTGATAAAATCTTATGGCGAACTTCAAAATATTTCACTATAAAGTGTATATTTCTGTTAAATCACGGCGCACTATGTTTTATGGTCAACTGTTACAATAATCATTTAAAGTTTCATTAAATATTATAATTCAAATCATATTATCGAGCGCCCTTCATTTTTAAATATGCTATTGACATTCGATAATTATATTTTATACCCACGTAAAAGTTATAATATTATCAGCCAAATAAACTACAATAAAATATATTGCATTGCATAATTACACATATATTATTATATATGTATATAATGATAAATATAATGCTATGTATAAATGTTAGTGTGTAAATTTGAACCGATTTTGATGCGATTTATAATATCTTTACATAAACTTGTGCAGAGTGTGTTTGTAATTGTATTATAATCCTAGAGCCAAATGTGTGGGAGTATGAACACAACATTTTGTATTTTATCGTGTTTATTTATATTGCTAGTATTGTAGTAAGCACCTAATTAATTTAAGGAGGTTACTCAAAATTACGAAGGATATTGTGATGTCTACACTGTTTTGGGCGTTTATGATCAAATAATTCTTACCAATTTATTTTTAATCCAAGCTCAATATCCCACTTCTCCAGAATTTAAATTGTATAATACTAATTTAACAACATTTTCATATAATGTAATTACTCGATGGCGGAGTACTCTATGTCCTAACTAATACTCGGCCCTTACCCGGTACCCGTAGTAATACAAAATTATTACACCGTCCTTACTCTGTTCCTGACGTAATATCTACAGTTTTACACCACCGGAATACTACATTTTTAATGAACTGATATCCGGTAACTGGCAAACGCTGATAATCTGTATTCTGTACATAAATATAATTGTATGCATATCTGTATTTAATATAACAGGAAAAATCTAAAATTCTAAAGTAATAAATTATAATTTGTTTTGGTACATTTCGGAGTAACTGAACCAATTTACAAAGGTCAGTTTATTATTATAGCTTCCTATTGCCTATCACCTAAACAACTAATATTTATGTTACACTAATATTTAATTTAATATACAGTATGTCCCAGAAGTCCTGTTTCGCCCTTAGTACCTCCGCGGAAAATCAATATATTTAAATGCACTTTTTTTATACAGTAATAAGTATGAAAATTCTGATTGAATAGCATAATATTCGATATTTTTTTTCAAAGATTCAAAAATTATCAAAACATTTTTTAGGCAAATAAGTTTTTTAAATTTCCAAGATAGCCATTTTGTTGATAGTATTTTTTAAAACTGTTCAAAAAAAAAATATATTAAAATTTAAAAAAATTCGCCACAGTTGGAGCTAATTATTATTTTTAATTTATAAAATATCAGCGTTCCAATTTCTGATTAAGGCATGCGAATCGTATTTTGCTAAATATGCCATATAGACAAAACTAAAACTATTAACAAAACTATTATTCTTAGAAATTCAAAATAATAATTAGATCTAACAGTCTAACTTGAGCGATTTATTATATAAATTAAATTTATTAATTGATTATAGTTGGAGTTTAAAATCAATTACATTTTATAGTACCTTCATTTCACTTTCATTTTTCGAATAATATCTTCAGTAGTTCGATGTATCACTAGTTACATAGTTTATTTAAGACTAGCAGGTGTTACCCGGCTTCGCCGGGGGAATTTTTTCTCCAGAAGTCAGTTTTAAATAATTAACTATTAACCTAGATAAATATATAATATGGGTATAATAGGATAAATATGATATTAGGATGGACAATAATTAATATTAGAAAATAACAATGGGATAACAATAGAAAATTGAAAAGTTATTTATTAAATATTTTTTTTTTTTTCCAGAAGTGTAATATCATGTTATGGCATATCATGTTCATTCACATCATCAAATAAACATCCTTTATTATATTTTCTATTAAACCATTCTTCAAATCTGGAAAATAAATCGTTTACATTTGTGTAGAAACAAAATCATTTATTATTTATTTTGAATTGTTAGTTGTTTAATTGTTTAATTGTTAGTTGTTTTGTCTACGTCATAGGAAACTATTGATTGTCGATTCAATGTTAAATATCTTTGATTTTTATAGTCACTAATTTTGGTATTCCGTAAGGTTATTTTGGTATTTAGTTTATCCGTGAAATTAGTCGCAAATTCATTCCATAATGTTAAAGTTATCTGTAGGTATATTTAAAATTAAAAATTATTAAATAGTGAATCAAAAAAATAAAATAAAAAAAGGTGGGCAAGTGGGTGTCGCTCTGCTGTACAGTAGGTTACAAGTGGGTCACTATAATGGATTGTATTAAACTTGAATTCAATGATATAATATCATTGTATAAGAAAAACGATTCTGAGCGGAGACGGTATGTCCTTCTAGGTATAAGACATATTATATAAATATCTAACGTATTAAAAAAAATTGACCTATAATGAATTCCAAATTAATCATATCACAATATCCATTAGGTACTTATAACGCGTTATACACCAACAACAAACCCTGATACTATCATAGATATATATAATAGATTACTTTAGAAATTTCAAGTACCCACGAATAATATTATACAATCACAACAAAATAACTAAAATCGTAATTCTTGGTTTAAATATGAAATTTTGTCTAAATTTGAAATTAAAATGTCTGTAAAAAATAAGTGTGTTTATATATTTTTTAGATTTTTTGGTTACAGTATGAATTATTTAAGAGAATCTTTGTTTTAAATTTTCAACTCTTAGTTATAAAAACTGAACATTTCATAATTTTTTAATTCCAACGATTGATAATTTTTGAGATTTTGATAAATTTTGTCAAAATTCCAACTTTAAATGCTTATAAAAAAAAATCGTGCTTATGTATTTTTAATATTTTTCAACTGATATTGTAACAATATATCAGGAGCCTTGTATTAAATTTTTACACTTTTTGGCCCAACAGATAAAACTTTATTGATATTTATAGAAAAAAAAACTAAAAAAAATTGAAAGCTGTAAATGTCCATAAACAGCTCAAAAAGAGTCAAAATATTTTCAAAATTGTATGGTGTATAGGAAATTCTAATATAAACATTCAGTGAAATTTTCATGTATCTACAGTTATTCGTTTTTGAATTACAACAAAATAAGGAAATCGCTACATGAGAAATCGAGTGAAAATCCAATGTTGTAAAAATTTGAATTTCAAACGCTCATAAAAATTTAATTTGACTGTCCGGTAGAGATTTTTTTATTGATAAAGGTAGATAATCTTATAAGGAATCTTGTGTTTCATTTTCAAATCTTAGATTTAAAAAGAAAAATTTTTACGAATTCTTAACTCAAAATAATTTGCTAATTTTCGTGATTTTTCCATATTTTGTCAATTTTTGAACTTTAAATGCTTATAAAAAAAAAATTGTGACTAAGGATTTTTAATATTTTTCATCTGCCTTTGAAACAACATATTAGGAGCCTTCTATCAAATTTTCAAGCTTTCGCAACCAACAAATAAAATTTTATTGATATTTTTAGAAAAAAAACTAAAAAAAAATGGAAAATGAAAATGTCCCTAAACAGTTCAAAATAAATCAAAATATTTTGAAAATGTTATCGTGTATAGAAAATGCAAATATTAACAACCAGTGAAAATTTCATGTATATACGTTCATTTGTTTTAGAGTTACACCAATAACCAAAATCGATTTTTTGGAAAACCAATTTTGCGTAAAAATTCCCGTTTTTCCTTAATTTTTATGTTGTTTTTCCCGGCGCTTGTGAAAACGACTGGGAAATGTTTACTTTTGACTCCCCAAAGTACCAACTAGATTCACTTTCCTATCAGAAAAGGTACTATTGAAGAAAATCGAAGCACTTTTACTGTCCTAAAACGTGATGACAGACACAAAAATATAAAAATATAAATAAAAATATAAAAACATACATCATTGTAAAACCAATACATTCATCGCTCCGCTCAGAATCTAAAATACCTTTTCATTACTATCATCGATTAGGACTATTTCTTTTTTATCGTATATTTGGCCATTTTTAGAAGTTGATGGTAAAATACATTTTTGACCTGTATTTGTAATATGTTCATCATGAAAAAAAACGTCTTTTAAATGGATATAAATGTCTACTCTCAGTTTTGATTGATTACACCGTATATAACCTAATCGTTCAGTTTCAATTTTAACAAACGCATCAACGATAAATTGATTGAATAACTGACCATACCGAAGTAAATGGTTTTCGGGATTCTCCCGTATCATAATTCGGTACTTTTAAAAATTCATTGCTGAAATTTTTTTAGATTCTGAGCGGAGCGATGAATGTATTGGTTTTACAATGATGTATGTTTTTTTTTATATTTTTATTTATATTTTTATTTATATTTTTGTGTCTGTCATCACGTTTTAGGACAGTAAAAATGCTTGGATTTTCTTCATCAGTAGCTTTTCTGGTAGGAAAGTGAATCTAGTTGGTACTTTGGGGGGTCAAAAGTATAAATTTCCCAGTAGTTTTCACAAGCGCCGGGAAAAACAACATAAAAATTAAGGAAAAACAGGAATTTTTACGCAAAATTGGTTTTCCAAAAAATCGATTTTGGTTATTGGTGTAACTCTAAAACAAATGAACGTATATACATGAAATTTTTACTGGTTGTTTATATTTGCATTTTCTATACACGATAACATTTTCAAAATATTTTGATTTATTTTGAACTGTTTAGGGACATTTTCATTTTCCATTTTTTTTTAGTTTTTTTTCTAAAAATATCAATAAAATTTTATTTATTGGTTGCGAAAGCTTGAAAATTTAATAGAAGGTTCCTAATATGTTTTTTAAAAGGCAGATGAAAAATATTAAAAATCCTTAGTCACAATTTTTTTTTATAAGCATTTAAAGTTCAAAAATTGACAAAATATGGAAAAATCACGAAAATTAGCAAATTATTTTGAGTTAAGAATTCGTAAAAATTTTTCTATTTAAATCTAAGATTTGAAAATGAAACACAAGATTCCTTATAAGATTATCTACCTTTATCAATAAAAAAATCTCTACCGGACAGTCAAATTAAATTTTTATGAGCGTTTGAAATTCAAATTTTTACAACATTGGATTTTCACTCGATTACTCATGTAGCGATTTCCTTATTTTGTTGCAATTCAAAAACGAACAACTGTAGATACATGAAAATTTCACTGAATGTTTAAATTAGCATTTTCTATACACCATACAATTTTGAAAATATTTTGACTCTTTTTGAGCTGTTTATGGACATTTACAGCTTTCAATTTTTTTTAGTTTTTTTTTCTATAAATATCAATTAAGGTGTATCTGTTGGGCCAAAAAGTGTAAAAATGTAATACAAGGCTCCTGATATATTGTTACAATATCAGTTGAAAAATATTAAAAATACATAGGCATGATTTTTTTTTATAAGCATTTAAAGTTGGAATTTTGACAAAATTTATCAAAATCTCGAAAATTATCAATCGTTGGAATTAAAAAATTATAAAATGTTCAGTTTTTATAACTAAGAGTTGAAAATTTAAAACAAAGATTCTCTTAAATAATTCATACTGTAACCAAAAAATCTAAAAAATATATAAACACACTTATTTTTTACAGACATTTTAATTTCAAATTTAGACAAAATTTCATATTTAAACCAAGAATTACGATTTTAGTTATTTTGTTTTGATTGAATAATATTATTCGTGGGTACTTGAAACTTCTAAAGTGTACTATTATATATCTATGATAGTATCACGGTTTTTGTTGATGTATAACGCGTTATAAGTATCTAATGGATATTGTGATATGATTAGTTTGTAATTTATTACAGGTACCTATAATAGGTCAATTTTTTGTTTAATACCAATATACCATAGATATGTATATAATATGTCTTATACATAGACTGACATACCGTCACCGCTCAGAATCGTTTTTCTTATACAATGATATTATATCATTGAATTCAAATTTAATACCATCCATTATACAGTGACCCACTTGTAACCTACTGTACAGCAGAGCGACACCCACTTGCCCACCTTTTTAATGTTAATGCCCCAGTTTGTGGATTTATTTCTTTCAATTCAAAATGATATCCGTCTTCCCCTTGCCAAAATATTAAAGGATATTGTAATGCATCATATGATTTATGGGTTTCAGAAATAGTTTTTAATTCTTGATTACGTTTCTCTAATATTATATCACGATTATTGTATTTGTTTCCACTGATAATCACAGCTACTTCTTTTGATGTCGGTAAATTGTAACGACGTTCATGTTGTCCTGCAGGTATTTTATCAGCTGTAAGGATAATTTTATGTTCTTCTGAAGGCATTTTTTCCGGTCGTATCCCATTTCGCCGACATTTCATTTCGCCGCGGTACCATTTCGCCGCCAAATTAATCCCATTTTGCCGCCGACCCATTTCGCCGCATAAAATTATTTTTGTCTTAGAACATGGTTATGAATTTGTGATTTGAAAAGTGATAAATAGACACAGAGAAATATTTATCAGATATATTTATCGTTTGAAACGATCTTAGTGCTATACTATCTCAATTCTGAAGTTATCGATTGATAAATCCCCAATAATTATATAAATAAAATAGAATGAATAGTGTGTCGTCGCAGCGATAAATGCAAAGTTACCACAGTCAGTGTCATATGATTATCACCAGTACGTATTTGCGCATTTACAGTTCACAATTTTTAAATAATAATGTCGAATATTGAATATATTTCTACACAGCGAAAAGGGGAGTGCATTATTTTTAATAACTATTATTTTAGAATTGATAAAAAAATAAAAAATAAAAAATATTGGAAGTGTATTGAAAACTGTGGAGCTCGTGTAATAATTTCAGATGAATTCACTGTACATTCCGATAAGTTTTGTAATCATAACCACAGTCCTCGTCCAGTTAAAATTGAAGAAAAACGTTTTAAGGCCAAACTTCGTTTGAGAGCAAAAGAAAACCCTCTTGAACCAATTCCGAAGGAAATTATTATAAAAATTTTAATAAAAAATTTTCGAAATATTTCACTTATTTTAATGCTGTTTATAGGCATTTGAAATATTCGTTTTTGTTTATTATTTTTTTATTTATTTTTTTAGCTAAGAGTTACTTATTGACCACTCTTATTTATTTTTTTATTCAAAATAAATAATAATAATAATTTAAAATAATAATTATACCTACTGCATTGTATACGTAATAATTAAAAGAAAAGTTAGGATTTTTACTAGTACTGACAGTCATGATTATTATGCATTTATGCAAATATCAATGGGTTCAAATCACTGGTGTTATCTACCACGCATCAAAATCTCATAGTTCACACTTCACGTCATTACAGTAGGAATATTAAAAAAAAAAATAGTATAAAAAATCAAATTATTTTGCAGATTTGGGATAATATTATTATGAGTATTATCAATTGATGAATTAATGATTCATTTGAAAATATTATTATTACTTATTAACTACAAATAAAATAATGAATAATTTTTGAGTAACCTTAAGTTGAGAGTTAAAGAGTTACTTAAAAAATAAATTCGGCGAAATGGAACTGCGAAAAAATAAATTCGGCGAAACGGTACCGCGGCGAAATGAAATGGCGGCGAAATGGGAGCTGACCTTTTTTCCAATGAGTTTTTAAATATTTTGATTAATACATTAATGTTCATGCAACAATTTTTGTAATGAGGATACAATTTTTTTATTGATTTTAGGAACAACCGTACATCGTTTCTCTACTTGTAATTCACTATCACCTAAAAAATATATTTGTAAAAAAGACGGATTATTATCAGCTGGAAGTAACGATCCTATTCTTATTCTATGATATATTTGTCCTTGTATACTAAATGTTGTGTTATATCCTGGTTCTTTTTTTCTGTTTGATCCAAATGAAGTCATTTGAAAACAGGAGTTATAGCTCCTAATATTATTCTTGAATTCTTTTGAATCAGAAGTATTACCGATTAAATATGATAACAAGGGTTCAACTGGACACCTTGGGACTGGTAGTTTAATTTTTCCATTTGCACAACATAAACCAGTTGGTTCGTTTCTGTATTTTAATGCTTGACAATAAGTACATTCATTATCCATTAACCCAATTGAAATATTATTTTCGAATTCATAGTCGGTTTCTGGATTGTATGAAAATGCTTTCATTTTTAAAAATTGTTCTAACTTTGATTTTCTTTGTCTGGTTCGTTCACTACTGTAAACATTAGTGATACCTTCTTCAACATTTTCTTGAGATTCATCTACTTCTCTGTCGTTTTTTTTTCTTGTACTTTTTGTTTTTTATCGAAGAATATGAAGATTTTCCAATAATTTTTCTTTTTCCCATAATAATAATCTATATACTTAAAGATAACATAAACATTAGTATATATAAGAACAGATCTATAATAATATGTTTTCAGCCAACAATTAATAAAAATAAATAATTCCTATAAAACAATGTAATAACCCAGGGCAACCGTTCAATATATGGCAAATTTCCAACGCAAATCTCATAATCCCCGTTTGAACCCCTACTGGTCCTGACACGAATATAATTGGCGATACGTTCTTCTTCTCGACGAAAAGAATGTATTGAAAAAAAAATAAATTGAATCGGTCTAATATCTCTTGAGAAAAATGGTCACGATTATCCCGCCACTTAATTTTATTATATAGATGTATATAGTACAACCCATAGGCAAATTAGTATTTCTGTTTTAATTTATATATTTGGTATTTTTTTCAATATCGAATTTGGAAATAATTTTTTTCTTAATTTACTAAATGTCCTCATACTTTTTTTTATATTTGTGTTTATTATTATTATTTTATTTTAATATTCACGCCCGGCAGGCAAAGAATGCAGGACATAAGTATTAAGAGGACATCGAACGTGTAAATTGAAGGTGTAAAACATGCCTCAGCTCTATGCACACAGCACAATACACAAATACCACAGAAACATGATTTTAACACTAATAGGAAGATCATCACTTAAACTGTGCTTTCTCGATGGTTTTTTTTTAAAAATTATTTTGATTTGTTTTTTATAAGGAGGGAAAAAATAAAAAAATTGACATTTTTAAACTTAAATATTTGCTTATATATCTAATTAATCAAAAAAATCTCTTCGAGGAGGCATAGTTAGGTTAGGTTTATCTCGTCTTTCAAAATAACCAAACACAATTCGTCTAAGTGAATTATTGAAGAAGCTGCAACTGTAGAGCGAATGATAGTTATTTTTTAATTTTAATATATTTGAGTCAAGTGCTGCGCCTATCGGCATATCAATGAAATCAGTCTATGTGGTACGGGTTAAGGCCTTTAGGGTGGCGGAGTACGGGGTATACCGTATTTCCACGAACCCGTATAGCAGGCTGACGGTTCATTATCTACGCCAAAATATGAAGAACTCCTGGTATTCGAACGCTAATAATAATTTGGTCATGGGTGTAAAATAAAACTATAATAATATAAGGAATAATGAGCTATTCAATAATTTATATAATAATTATTATAGGTACAATGTGGTGGGAATTATAAAATGTGAATGTTATGGATTATAATTTGATTGTCATTTGTTGTGATCGACTGAAGGATTGCGTACGTTTGTCGTTTAGTTAGGTAGTAAAATTTGAAAGTAGGTAGGTACACTTTGTTTTTCTATAAAGGAATTATACGAAACGCCTAGAATTACTTTATGATGAATGGTTTCAAAAAAAGTCGACCATATACTTCTGTTAGAAATGCTTATAAACCGAAAAGTTTAGCATCTCGGATGAAAAAACTTAGTGCTAAGAGAAGGTAAGTAATACTTACTAAGTATAGACAATAGTCGTTAAACTACTAAAGCAGTATCTACAATTTAAATATATTATAGGTAGGTACTTATGTAATACGTACATTATGTATCCAATATTTAAATACAATAATATTGCTGCGTTTTTATATAATATTTTAGATTTTGAGCGGATCGATGAATGTATTGATTTTTGTTTGTGTTTATGTGTACAGACAGAAAAAAAATCGCTACGCTCAGAATCTGAAATTATAATTAAAAATATTTTACGTGTCTCCATTTTTTATAGCCTAAAAAAACAGTTATCGGATGACATGATAATAGACTTGGTAAACGATGAGGTAGAAACTAATACATCGGTATTAAATAATTATAGTAGTTTAGAACATATTTTGAGTGTTTCAACTTATGCAGAAAAACAAAATACATCAAGCCCTGCATTTAGTTTCTATCAATCCATCAATGTAAGTTTATATGAGCTTAAAAATAATTAAATATTTAATACTATACAGCGTGATTCTTTTATCAAACAACACTCATTATTTCAAAAAGTGTAAATTTTTTTGAAAATATCTTTTTACATAGTTTCAATTCGCTTTTAAAACAACGTTTTTATTAAAAAATTATATTTTTAAATATTTTTTATCCTTATAATTTATTAAGTTTTTTACTTTTTTGAATGACAACATAGGGTTTTAATTTTATATTCTAAAGTAGAATATTTTTCTTAGTATTTTGATACATGAAAATCGAATTTGGGTTGAGTAGTTTATGAGTTATAAGTATTTGTAGTTTAGACGAGCGGAGTGGAGTGGTTCGGGGTTACCCCGCGAAATGTTTGTCTGCACTTCACCGCTCGTCTAAACTTTAATTACTTATAACTCATAAACTACTCTATCTACTTTATCAAATTCAATTTTCATGTATCAAAATACTAAGAAAAATATTCTACTTTAGAATATAAAATTAAAACCCTATGTTGTCATTCAAAAAAGTAAAAAACTTAAAAAATTATAAGGATAAAAAATAATTAAAAATATAATTTTTTAATAAAAACGTTGTTTTATAAGCAACTTGAAACTATGTAAAAAAATATCTTCAAAAAAATTTACACTTTTTGAAATAATGAGTGTTGTTTGATAAAAGAATCACCCAGTATACCTACGTTAATGTTATAACAACTAAAAAATATATAAATATTTTGTTAGAGACGAAATACCTACAAGTGAAATTGATATGTCTGGAATAGATTTTCTTTACGACGAAAATACCCTGCCGAACTGTACAGATTTTAAGGGAAATCATGTAGACATTCCTTATGATAATCATTCAACTCTAGTTTCTAATTTCACAAAGTATTCCTATTTATACAATTTAAATATTGTTTTAATAACTATAAAATAATTTATATTAATACTTATTAGGCATAATTTTAGCATAAGTAATAATGACAAGTTGCCAGAGTTGTCTACTATTGACACACAAACTGATGATTTTACAAACACGTAAGTTAATCACTCGACCATACTTGACCTACCTAATATCAAAATTTAATATCTTAATTACAAAACCAAAATATTTTGTGAAATTACAGTGAAACGTGTAATGAAATAACCGGTAAAAGAATTTTCGATGTATCATACCTTTTTGAACAAATACAAAATAATATACATGATGGAGGATTTGGGTGTACATTTAATGACATGTATTTTGTATCGGAAGATCGAAGAGGTTGTTATTCGGAATTTTGGTTTAAGTGTAGAATGTGCAATATAAAAAAAAAAATATGTTCAGTGAAAGAATCACCGAAGACTAATAGGTCAATTAATAAATCTATTGTTAATAGTACAATAGCAATTGATAAAAATTATTAAATAATAAATATTACATCCATGATCTATCAGTACCTATTCAATTTAAATTTTTAATATAATATATAATTTAATAATTATTGTTAATTTTTTTGTATAGGAATAGGATACACGCAATTAAATGAATTTTTATCTAGATTAGAAATATTTCCTATGAGTTCCAAAACGTATTCAAGTATAGAAACTACTCTGGAGACAGAAATAAAGAACACTGCTTGGTTTGAAATGCAAAAGGCGGGTCAAGAAGAAAAAAAAATAGCTATTGAATCAGGTATAATCAAAGCATAAAGGCATTATAATACTAATTGCTTTGCAACTATTGCTGTTCTTGGTTGCCTCATGAATGTCGAAGTTCCAAATATTTAATACATTAGATGTTTTAATAAGTATATTAAATGAATATTTATTTATAATGACCAAATATAAAATACCCAGGACAGATAGATCTCTAGTACATGTTTTAAATATTTATTCATTTATTTATTCAAATAAAAAGTAATGAAAAAAATGTACCTAACCTTGTAGGTAATGTAGATGCCGATGGCATACCTTGTAATTTGTATAACTGTTGTGGCTGATGGACAATGGTCCAAAAGAAGTTATCGAACCAAGTATGATGCTCTTTCCGGAGTAGTAAGTTAATGTTTTCAAATGTGATTTCTGTGGGCTAACATTTTAATATTTCATTTAGGCAAGTATAATAGGTTTTTATATTATTCGTTGGCATACGAAATAGATATTGTGTTGTCTGTGAAAGAGCATACAATAAAAATGTTGAGGCTTCAGCGCATGTTTGTTTTTTAAATTGGAAGGAAGGGGCAACCAGCATTGAAGTTGATGCCATCGCAGAGGGATTTCGAAAAAGTGTAGAAACACATGGAGTAAAATATACTAAATTAATCGGTAAAATATTATAGTGTTATACTTAATCAATATCGCACATATTTTACAATATAAATACTAAAATATATGATAATACCACAGATATAGATAATAAATATATATTATATAATATATATATTTGTAAATAGTACTAATTGGTGAGTGATGCAATTAACTAATATAAATAGGTGACGGGGACAGCAGCGTTACTAAACGGCTAAATAATATACTACCCTATGGCCCGCAGTGTAGAGTGCAGAAAGTTGAATGTAGGAACCATTTACTTCGTAATTACTGCCAAAAACTAATGATATTATCAAGAAAATCTGATTATCCTATTGAAATTAGGAAAAAAATATCAAAAAATATTTTAAGGATGAGAACAGACGTTACGTGTGCTATAAATTTTCGAAAATTAGAGGACAAGCCGCTGAATGAAAAAATTGCAGGTAATTTCAAAATGTAAAATACAAATATTAATAATGATATATTTTCGTTTGTTTTTATTGTTTTTTTTTTTATCAACTTAGTTCGTATTTTATTTTAGGTCTTAGATTTGATATAAACAATGCACCAAACCATCGGATTTTTGAAAATCATGCAAAGTGTTCAGAATATTTTTGTAAAAAGTCTGGTGTTGTACAAAATATTTCTCTATTTAAATTGCTTACAAATTTAATACAGTCTGCCGTAGAGAAAAAAAACACTATTAAAGAAAAAATCAAAATTGTTTAAATGGTTATTACAATAATTTACAAATTTGATTATTAGGGGTATTCAGGACAAAACATTGTGTAATGGTTGGTATGGTGAATGTATTTTTTGTGCGAGTGTTCATCATTGGAACACGAAAATTAATCTTATTTTAGAACAAACTAATTTACTGTTTAGTAAACTGTAGAGAAATAAACATCATTATAATCACTTCGAAATGAGAATGGTGTGAGACCACATATCTTTTCAACAAGAGAAATTAATTGATCACCCATGTGCAGTTTGAAAGCAATATAAAGTATGGATCATCTTTGGATTTTTTGGATTTTTTCTATTAAGGCTACTTATTTAGGGTTCCATTATACTGAACTCAATTGATGGACTAGGAGGACTAGAGCAGAAACCTCTCTACAGTCATGTACTCATGTGGAATGAACATTGTAGACTATAAATTGTACTTACACGGTGACATGCGGGTTAACACGTATCTTTCAAAACGTGTGTCATGTCTACAGAGCTTCTCATTAGTAGATATCCGTCTTCCGACGTATAAGCCATTCTGTAATTTGGCATTGCTTGTTGATAAAACATACGCACATTATTTGGTCCTAATTTGATAATAATTTACGTTGTTTATATAACTCAAGTAGTGTACACAGAGAAGGCTAACGCGCTGTAGACCACATCCCCAACGCCCGTATTATTATTATTTTTTTTAAAAATAATTATCAAGTTTCAACCATCGTAAACTAGTAGGTAAGACGTAAAATCTTATAAGTGTTACCGGAATGAATTTATTTTTTCAAAAACATTTGCATAGGTACCAATTTACTTCTATTAATTTAAAAAAAATATAAAAAATATTCCGTACCTAAGTATAGTTAATATTTTTAAATAGTTATAGGTACTAAAAACTTACAAGGAACCTTGTATTACATATTTAAGCTTTTTTACAGAACGAATTATTTTAGATTCTGAGCGCAGCGAGGAACCTAGTGGTTTTACAATGGTGTTTTTTTTTTTTTTATCCTGTAAAAAAAATATCTACCAGAAGGAATGCTTCGATTTCAACATAATATTATAGTATCTTATCTTTTAGAAAATTGGATGAAGATGGTACATTAAAAAGGTAATTTTTCAATTTTCTCAATAGTTACTTAATGCAATGGAAAAAACTACAGTCAAATAACAAAAAACCGCTAAACATGGTATTTTGATTTCTAACGCTTGGTTTATCAACATAGAAATAAATACAAATTAAAATTAAAATAACAATTTTAGTTCTTTTGTTGTAATTTACAATATTAATTCAACTTACAGGCTAAAATAAAATATAAAAACAACATAAAATATCCAGACTGACAAACCGTCTCAACCGCTCAGAATCGTTTTTCGTAAAAAATAATATGATATCATTGAATTCAATTTAATAAATCCATATATACAGTGACCCCCCCCCCCTTGTAACCAACTGTACAGCAGAGCGACATCCACTTACCCGATTTTTTTTTATTGTGTTTTTAGAAAAAAAAACTTAAATTAATCAAATACAATTCAAGCGAATACCATATTCCAAGGTTACCAAAAAGTTAATTTTAACAAAATTGTCATTGATTTATATTTGCTTTTCCTGATTATTTAAAAAATACTGAGAACTTTCAATTTTACATTAGTGACTGTTTGGAGTGTGGCAAACGTTCATGGAAAGCAATTATAAGGCTAAGTCGAGATCTCTCTCACACGACATATTATGAGCACGACATATGAGTTAGGTACGCAATAACTAGCTTAAGAATATAAAAGTATTAACGATATCTAGATACGTTAATTTAAAAGCAGTGAGTAGATCCTAGGATTAATCCCAAGCTAATTTGGTATGTCAACTACAATAACTAGAATACCTATTGCTATATGGTACCGTAACTAGAACAAATATAACGCAAGTTTTTATTTATAATTTTACCATGGTATGTATAATAACGTATTAATAATCTCACATTAAAGTGTAATTAATGACTTAATAATAACAGTGAGAGAATGTACACAACCAATATTACAATTTTTAATTACAGAGCAGTGTGTTCGTATAGGTCCTGTGATCTTGTCGATTCCTCCAGCGGGTTACAAATATTTTCTGTCACGGTATCTCGATGTTTCGTTCTTAGGCAACAAGCCAAAGCCGAGACAAATACAAGCACCATGGACATGACAATTAACGCAATGAACCAGCCAGGGAGTTTGGACAGATCATCAGGATGAGACAAAGTTCTTCTGATCACGGTGAACTGTAATGAAGTGCCCATTGTGACGGAGATCACTTGCAACCCAGTTGTATGCATGGTCGGCTCACACACCAAACTGTGTGGTGTTACCGACACAACTGCGCAAACCAAGGACGACGAATCCACTGCCCGTATCACGATGTCTTCAGGCTGTACATGCTGTAAGTGGAGGCCATTGACGAGTACTGATCCGCTTTCGTTTATTTCAAAGTCTAACAGAACTGGATCGGGGTGCACATAAAATCTGAGCGATGGACCACGAACCACTATTGACAGCGACTGATTCAAGGAGAAGTCGTCTTTAATGAATTTTATTTCCAGTCCGAAATTCAGTAGCCGCCCCACAACCAATCCGTCCCCGTCCACGCTATCGACGTTCTTCACTTTTGGCGATCGGCATACCATGTACGTATCGTTAACTGATGGATCACAATAACTATCTGAATAAATTCTGACATCGTCAGGCATGTCAACGTACAGTCGGGCAGAGGATACAACGCAAGGTTCAGCGAAATGACTACCACGGACCGGAACGGAAGTGCCACCAGACGCTATGCCTCCAAGGTGGTGGGCCGCGTCCAGTACGGGATTGGGACAGAATTGGAATATCTGAGGCGACTCAATCTTCAGCACGCTTTCAGTCGATGAGTACTCGACCAGAATCGGACCGGACAATATTTTGTTGGATTGTGTTGTGATGCACGTTATAGTCTCTGGTCCCAACGTTCTGGAGTTCATGCACAATGTTCCTGCTATCGTCACAATTACTGTTCGGTTCTCTGATAATATCTCGTGGTTCCTCACTGTGATCGTCATGGTCGTGCCACCGGTTTCCGGCCCAGAAAGCGGATCGACTGCTGTCACATTTATTTCACCACAATCATTCGTCAAGTGTACGAATTTTATGTTTAACTGTTCTTTACCGTTGTTCGTCATATATAAATTCTTGCGAACCTGACAGGTGTTATTGGAGGAACACCATCTCAAGTAGTTTGAGTAGCCATCTTTATTCCATGCACAAGTAGCACATGATTTGTACTTTTCATCATTTGCACACTCTTCCTGTTCATAAAATGTGACATAGTGATCAGCCACGTTATCAAACCGTAGTATTACGTCATTGAAAATAATAAAAGTAAAAAAAGTGAACGTTGGATTATTATAACCAAAATCAGATTTTTTTACGTAGAATTCACATGATATTATCGTATTGTTATTTATGTTAACCTGTCGAGTTGGATATTTACAACGTGTTGGAAATCTGGTATAAATTATACTGTCATTAAGATAATTTCTGAAACCTACCAACTCATTTGATACCTCAACAATGTATTTCAAGGAAACACTTGATTCACCATAATTATACTCTTTAATTACTGAAAACCGTGGGCATTCCTCTATTTCGAAGACTATTAAACCCGACGAGTTGAATTGAGTCCTGTTTTCACATATCTGTTGTTGAAGGGACCATATACACATGGGTTTGATTGTACATTTAGGGCACGTCATTAAATCTGAACAAATGGTTTTATTTGAATCGTGAATTATAGATGGATATTCGGAAACGAGAAGATTGAATGGATTAACAATAGGTGTCGGTGATCTATTTGCCAAGATGTATGTTAACGAATCTCCAATTTTGACCAAGATCTCGTGCAACTCAACTATATCGATGGTTATAGTTGGGTCGCATACAATACGTTTAGATTTAACCGAAACGACTACGCAACCTACGGATGATGAATTAATATACAATACAACGATGTCATCCAGTCGGACATGCTGTAAGTTCATGCCATTGATGATTATTAACCCGCCTTCGTTTATTACGAAGTCCTCAAGATCAGGATTGGGGTGAACGTAATATCCAAGCGAAGAGTCAGAGACCGTGATTGGCGGTGACTGATTCAAGGAGAATCCTTCCTTACTGTACGTGATATCCAGTCCGATGTTCAGTAGCCGTCCCACAACCGACGCGTCCTCGTCCCAGACAGTGCCGTTCACACTTGGCGATCGGCAGACCATATACGTGTCGTTGACTGGTGGATTGCAATAACTATCTGCATACCGTCTGACACCGTCAGCCAGGTTAATGTACAGTCGGGAAGAGAATATAACGCAAGGTTCTACGAAATGTCTTCCACGAATTGGAACAGAAGTGCCACCGGACGCTATGCCACTGAGTTGTTGGTCTAAGTCCAGTACGGGATTGACACAAAACTGGAATATCTGGGACGACTCAATCTTCAGTCCACCTTCAAACGAGGAGTACTCAACCAGGACTGGACCGGATAATGCGCCAACCGCTTCTGACGTAGTGCAAGTTATAGTCTCGAGGCCGGACGTCTTGGGATTTGTGCACACTGTTCCTGCCACCGTTACTTTTACCGTTCGGTTCTCAACAAATATTCTGTGTTTCCTAACTATGATCGTCAAGGCCGTTCCACCAGTTTTCGGTCCAGACAGCGGATTTACCGCCGTCACATTTATTTCGGCACAATCATTCGTCACATACGCTACCTTTTCATCTAACTTATTTGTAGCATTGTTCTTCAGGTATAAACTCTTGTCATCTTTACAGGTGTTTTCGGATGAACACCATTTCAAGTAGTTCGAGTACCCGTTTTTATTCCATCCACATGTAGCACATGATTTGAACTTCTCATCGGTGGCACATTCTTTATGTCCATACACCGTAAAATAGTGATCAGCGACGTTGTCAAATCGTATCATAATGTC